CGGCTCCCGGAGTTGTGCTGCTCGTCATACCTACGGGGTTTGGGTTTTGTTGCGTGTTGGTGATGATGGTTGAGGGGGGCTTTTCGCCTTCGGCTTACTACTTGCGGATGGGATGTTGAGGAACGCTTGGAAGTTTCGAGACGAGCGATAGCGCTGCTTTCGATGGTTACTGATTTGGGTATCTGATGGAGTGGAGATTAGGCGGATGGCGCGAGGGAAACATGTACTGCTGTTCATCACCGAGCTTTTACTGAGTAGCTTGGACCTGATCGCCTTCCTTTCAGTTTGGTACAACATCCATCAACTTGAAAATATGACGTGGTGGATGCTGTATCAAACTGAAAGACGAACCGATAAGTTCAAATTCAAATATCACGTTTTGATTTACTTCATGGGACACGCAGGTCGTGAGCCGAGAGACGCCTGACAAGGACTGCGACGAAATCTTGTAGGCGTTGGAATATGGTTAGAGAGAACACTGCCTCTGATTCCTAGCTCTACTTTCTCACAATAATTCGATTCGAAATCTGTTCATCAGATGACTGCAAGCTTACAATGGATGTGTTCGTTTCTGCGTTCACCCAAAACGTAACATGTACTACCCAAACCATCAACCCACCGCTCCTTCCAGAACTCGCCCTAACCTGACCCGACTGGCAGTTCTTTTCTAGAAATAGTAGTCTGCATTAGGTCTTCAGAAATCTGCAAGATAAAGCGAAGGAATGCGCCTGTTTTCGACAGTTACCTGACTGGGACAAAACACCAGATGTTTGGGTACGAAGGAACACGCTTGTCAAGTGCTGGTTGCTTTTCTGCACGCCTAGTAGATTTGTACCGAGATCTGAACACATGCAAGATGAAGCGAAGGAATACGCCTACTTTCCATGATTGCCTGTCTGGGTAGGCCAAGTGACACACCGATGTTTGGTGTTGCTTTTTAGTGTTTGAGACGTTGGTACGCTTGCGGAGGCGTGTTTAGTTTGGGGGAATTTGAAGCAGGGTGCCGATGGCGATACATTGGTAGTACAGAGACGCGATGCGAGGTTTGCGACGCTGAAGCTCGTTGCGAGAAGGAAGAGTCGCGGATGGATTGGTGTAGAAGTAGAAGTTATGTGTCCCTCAACGCTGCGTGTTTTACCATCGTGCCTGGATGCGACTACTCAGAGTGCAAACAATTTGACAAGTACATACGCACGAAAAGACACACGGCGATCAACAGAACATGAGCGATCACACGTGACTTCTCTTTTTACAGCCTCACCAACGGAAAAATATGAGGCTCTCATACGCCTGCTTTCAACACCTACCCAACACCGTAAACGCACCCACTTCCTAAGGAACGACCAAGCTACACCAAGTCTGACAAGCCAAACGCCTACTTTCCACGCCTACCTTTTCCAGTAATTTCTCTTCGTTGGCAAAAAAAGACGACATCGACGTGTCGTTGGCGCGTCATCGAGAGAGGAGAAAAGTTTGCTTATTCCCGCGTAACCTTCCCTTCCGCGGGTACGAGTCGGTGAGCCACGGGCAAGCAGAACAAGCAAACCAATTTTTCTCCATTGGCATTACCAAGCCTCCGCATCTACAATCTACGGTTTCCTTGAATGGGTAACTTTGAGGAGGCCAAGCTTTGAAGCCTGCAATCGATGGTTACTGTTTACAGGAATATCGGCGAGGATGAAGCTGTTTCACCGTTATTGCCGTATCGAGTGCTGCGATCAATGCGCGAGTTTAGTGGATGGTGATGGGAAAGTGTTATTTCCGACGTATTGCCGAAGATTGTGGGTGAGGCGTGAGAAGGTTTTAATATAACCGTTTGGCGCCTGCTTTCGATGCCTACTCTATGCGGTAGGTGAGGAAGGTTCGATGCAGGGACAAGAGGTAGTATACGAGAAAGGTTGCGTGGTTGCTTTTGAGGATTGGTGGGTATACCCGCCTAGTTTTGATCCACCGACCGGGTGGACGTTCGACGGGTATATACAGCCGAGCGCAAGTATTAACAACTACGAATGCCAGATAACCACCAGCCTAAGATTACAGCAGATCCTATTTACAAGTAGATATAGCACAGAGGGCTACCACCAAGGGTGTTGAGCACATCGCGAATCTTCACAGTCTTTCCGTTGACTCCCAAGACCAAGGGCTCGTCGATGGTGGCGTTGCGGGTTGGAGGCTTGTTCGACAAGGTCAAAGTACCGGTCACCTCGTTCGCCTCACGTGGGTGAAGCGTCTGCCAAATCCAGTAGATGCGGTCAAGCATAGCGTGGTGGAGCCAAAAGACGGGGTCGTTCACAGAGGAGTAGAGATCAGTTCCGTCGCCGCCCATGGTGTAGTGGCCTGATGTGTGCAGACCGAGGAAGCCGTCTGGGTAGCGACCTTGGATTTCGACCCAGAAGTCGCGATGCGTCTGAGAAGCTCTTCCAATGGTTACATTCAGTAAGTTCGCCGTAGTGAACCACTTCTTGGGAATGTAAGGACTGATGTCTCGGCGCAGGCAATGAGGATTGTAGTCGTTGGGGTCGATGCCCAGATCGGGGAAGCCTTGCATACCAGGAGAAATCGGACCAATGTTCGCCACCGTGCTGTGCTTTGTTAGCTTTCCGTAAGGATTGGGTTATGCGACGGTCTCACTTCTTGAAAGGGCCGCTCTTGACACATCCGCCTCCTTTTCCAGAGGGGATGGAGATTGTTCGGGCACCGGCAAGACTGCCGTTGTGCGCGAAGAACTCGCCATCGCCACCCAAACTGGTGTCACTTCCGTCGAAGACAGGGGACTTGTATATATTGTCGGTATGTGCGAACCAGTTCCAGTACTAGAGAAGTTAGACATGTAAGAGTCACTCGAAGTGTCTGGTACTGACCGGTTGATAGCCCTTGTAGCCACATTCGTTTCGGAGGGCTTGCTCGTAGGACCAGACAAAGTAGCGGTGCCAAGTGAGGAAGAGACCATTGCCATGAATACCAAGGGTCTGGTTCACGTGGATGGCGACATAGTCGTCAAAGCGCGTCTTCGCTGCTGAAGCCCACGATTTGTCGGACTTGGCTGGCAAAGTTCGCAGACATTGGACAGCTTTGATGTACGCTTTCCGATCTGATTTGCTCAGGTGATCCCTTGTCGAGGTTAGCCAGCACCAATTCATGCGCGTGGTAAGCTTACCAGTCCCTCCGGATGGTTGTCTTCGCCAAAGAACAACCTTTAGGGGCCCTTTTTGAAACACTCTCATTTTGTTCAAGCGTTTCGTATGCACTCTGCTGCAGTTGGGCGAGAGCCTCGAGAGGGTCTATTGCAGGGTCTATATCGATGACTGGAGTTGAGGGCGAGTCAAAGGGGACCGCAGCCACAAGGCTTACAGCCAACAGCTGCACGGCGGTTACAGCTTGTAACAGACGCATGGTGATGGTGATGGGATCGCTATGTGCAAGGTCTGGCGATTTAAGGAAGTAAGATCTGAATCCAAATCGACGGTTATATCCAATGCGAATGCAACCCTTGTTCATGCAAGGCCTTCGCCGCAAGCGTACTTCCGATTTCCAAGGACCTATATTAGAAGAAGCGGCTCTGCAGCGAGTCCAGATGAATAAATCGATCAACGCGGCTTAGAGTATAGGCGCGCCTAATGAAAGCCTGCATCCTCTCCGTACTTTAGCCCAAGAGTGTCCTGCTATGGGGCCATAGCTTGTACTGGAAACGCGGTGCAGACTAGCCTACGGCCTCCTTAGGTACGTCTTTGACCTCGGAGTAGCGACTGAACGGCCGGTAGCGCTCGTCGTGGGATATTACCATGCGGAATTTTATGCTGCCAAGATTATACCATGTCAGGGCGATGGTAGTGCATGCTTCCAGAGCACGGCACTGTGTGTGGTCGCCCATTGTTCGGTTGGGGTGGCGAGTAAACGGCTGTCACGACGGGGACCGTTTTGGGTAGTGATAACTTCGCGCGATGCGATGCGAAAGGATCATCTGTCGACCGTTTAGCTGAGTGATCTAAAGGCTCCTGAAGCAAACTTGGCACTGCTAAGATCTGGGATCTTTAGGATTGTGTTGGATCGAAATGACATACGCATACAAAGGCGAAAGGTTGGCTGTCGACCAATGGGACGCCGTCCCACACCATGCGACTATATCTGAGTGCGGCATGAGATCGTCAAAGGGTCGCGTAGGAGTGGCGCCTTCCTGCGGTGAATGCGAGACGGGACGGAGACGGGAAAGAGCCCTTGACAGTGGTAAACGATCCCTAGTACCTGCCGCCCCACGAACAACCGGCTCACTCCCATGACTGCGCCGCTTTATACCAGAAGCCTTTAGACCCAGAGACATTTTCATATCCCACGCAATGTCACCAAACAAGCCCATTGGCGATCAAGTAACGAATCGCAAAGGCTTCCAGCTCTGCCTTTGCCTATTCAGACTAAACTGATCCTTCTCGTATTGCCACCCCCAAGAACCAACATGTCGGCTTGTTTACCACTGAAGCGAGCTCGGGTTTCGTTGCAAGTTGGGACCATTCATGCGCGCAGCGGACCATTAGCCACCCGTCGACCCGTCGAACCGTTGCGCTGGGCTGGCTCGTCTGCGATGGAATCCTACCTTTCGGCCCGATTACTTAGTGCGCGAACGCATCTGGGACCGGTGCATGCTGAAAGTAGATGCAGGTGCGGGCTGCATGCAGGCGATGCCGTCTCTTTGCCATGCAATATGGGCAATATACACTCGTTTCAAGAAAAAGCAAAGCGCAGGAAGGATTCTCCAAGAAATTGACACACAAGGATGCCACATCTCACGGTAAGCAGGCTGACGAACCAACAAACGAGGCCATGTCACCTTCTAGAACACTGCTACCGTGCTTTCAAGTCGTTGCAGAGAGCTCCGTATCCTACTGGGCATGAAATGTAGGAAGGGGGCATGTAACACAACATATCCTTGGTTTCGACAGGATGCATGACACTTATGTCTCCTCCCTACGACTCCATTTTGCTAGACCCTCATCTTTGCCGTCACTATGGCACCAAAGAATACCGACCCGGTGCGTGCAGCAGAGAGTAATCTAGGATATCTCCTCGGCGTTACCGCGACTTTCCATGTCATCGCACTGACCTTTGTTGGGATGCGCATGTACGCCCGCTTCGTCGTCGTGAAGGCGTTTGGCAAAGATGATGCCCTCATACTAGCGGCAGCGGTGAGAAACTAACGTGAATCAAGTTTGAGTGCTTCTCTAACTGCGTGGATTAGACTTGTGTTTTTCTTGGTGGAATGGTGACCTACATACTAGCTGGCCAGCATGGCTTAGGTCGTCACACCGACACTCTCGAGAAGTCAGATCACCAAGAGTACCTGAAGTTGACCTTCATACAAGCTCTTGTCTCCAGCATTGGAGGTATGGCCTTCCTCAAGTTGTCCGTCGGGTTCTCACTCCTTCGCTTGGGCGTTCCCACGTTATACAACAGGATACTCTGGTCGCTTATCGGTAAGTCCATGGTGCTTTGAAAAGCGAATTCATTACGTCTACTAAGCATTCTCAGCATTCGTCTGTCTCTACACACTGGTATCTTGGAGTGAATGGGCTGCCGTGTGCAAACCCATCGCCGGTTTCTGGAATAAGGACCTCAAGCCAACCTGCGTGCCTGTGAAAATCCACAAGGGCTTTGCGCTGATGAATACAAGTATACATGTCCTCCGCCACTCTTACTGTACTTGGTGGCTGACTAGATCGTACGCAGGCTGCAACATGTTTACGGATATCTGCTTTGCAACCATCCCTATTCCCATCATTATGGGGTTGCAGATGAAGCAGAAGACTCGCATGTACCTCATCTTTGTTCTGAGCTTGGGATACACGTAAGTTTCCCGGCATCGGGAAGGGAGGCTTGAGTTGAGGCACAAAAGCTAACCCAAGTCAAGAGCGGTGGCCATGGGCATCGTCAAGGCCGTTGTCCAGAATACAAAGAGAGGTGACCCCGATCAGTCATTGTAGGTCTCTATGTCTATACTTGAACCAGTATGGACGTTTGCTAACAGTATGCCAGCACGAACGACATCCAATTCTGGGGCTTCCTCCAGGTGAACGTCGGTATCATAGCCGCATGTGCGCCATCGCTCAAGCCCCTCGTCGGTGGCATTCTTCGCCTCCCCTCGACACAGTATTCCAACAGCCGAAGTAACTTCGCCTCGGGATCGAACGGCCAGTCCAACAAAAGTAGATTGCAAAGCAGGATACGCGTTAGCACTCGGATTGAGAGCAAAGGGTGGATAAGGACAGATAGCGATATCGAGCTGGATGAACGAGAGTCCTTTGGCAGCCAGGCGCACATAACGAGCAACAAGGATGGAGTTCGTCAATGATAGACCCTTTTTATAGCCGATATTCATCTTTGCACCTTATATAAGGGAAAACCTGAACAGATCTGCAGCCTACATTAACATAGGAATCTGCAAAGTAGGCGTCCTAATGTCGACGTAGGCTCTAGACCTGTTTAATTCTTTCCTAGGTTGACGTGTTTGAATAATACGAATGCCTTGGGGCTACTTCTCCTCTACGCGACCTTGGGAAAAGACCAGTGTCTTCGTTCCTCACATTCATTTGCGGAATTGAAGGTTGTGAAGATGCCTGTGTCGAAGCAGACAGCAATCACACAGCACGATACGACTGTGCAAGTAAGCAGCTTTTCCAGTGGTCGCGCATTTAAGAAGGCAAGAAATCTGTCCCAAAGTATGCAATGCGCTGCCTGTGGACGTCAGATGTGTAATGAGTGTCGTGCGCGTGGTTCATGCCAGCAGCGGGCGACCTCGGGATGACGCGGGCACTAACGGGACCCCTCGGCCCCACCCCTCACTCCGCACTCATGTTACCTATGTATGTGTCTACACAACTGGACCCTACTAACTCACAGTATCCCGTACATTCAAGAAGGAGACTACCACATCGCCGTGTAAGTCAATGATCGATAGGGATGTCATTCGTAATGCGGGATGAGTCCTCACGGCAGTATTGGGCGAGAACGAAAACTGTTTACATATGAGAAGGCATCACCAGGGAAAGCATACGACGGGTAGTGCGAGGCAAACCTATTCGTTTCATCTCGTTTACGGTATAATGATACGCCAGTTATACTCCCTTCGCAACTTTCAGGGAACAGTGCGGACTCCTCACGATTTGACCTCTACCAAGTTTGGAGCGACAAGAGACAAGCTACACGCAATCTATTTGCCGGAGTTGTACCTCGCGCCGCCCTGGCCATCGTTGTAGTAGGTCGAGCCCTGGAAGTGAATCAGCAAGAGTCCATCCGTGTTGGACAAGTTTGAAGTACGTTGGGGTTGCTGTAGTAGTACGAGCCATCGGTGTTGGAGTAGTGGTAAGAGTTGGGGTTCGAGGCGCTGGAGCCATAGTCGCGGGAGCAATAGTGGTTTCCCTACGAAAGAGTCTCAGTCAGGCGTATGGAAAATGAAGAAGTAAGATCATACCTGGCTGTTGGTACCGGAACTGGTTGTGGTGTAGCCTCCGCTGCCAGTATTGCCAGAGGAAGCCGAGCCCGAGCCGGAGGAGTTGGATGTGTTCTGGGACGACATGGCAGTTAGCTGACTGACGTGGGTATTCGGATAATTGAGTGGAAGCTGAGTGATATCAAGTTGTAGAAGAAAAGAGGAGAAGAGGAAGGGGTGTTAAATGTACGAGGAAGGCAGTGCCGTGAGGAGAACCCCCGCACTGACTTCCCGCAACGGCTTACGCTTTCCTCATTCTGATCCCACGAGCTTCGCCACGCGGAACGCGCTACTGCTTGTAACAACGTTTGACCGCTATCGCGTTGTCACGAGCTTACCAGAAAGGACGGGCCGCTACTACAATCTTGGTATAGTGACACGGCTTTCAGACTACGCGACTCATGCGACGGGACGCGTCTGATTACCTTGGGCTCAAGATCTCACTGGCGTTAGAAGGGAAGTAGAGCGTTCAAGTTGCAGTATCATTTCTTAGGTTGCTACACTCGATCTTGGAAGATCAGCTCGCAAGGAAAGCAGATACAGCCCGACCACCCAGCTTCCTTCCCTTCCTTTTCGTCTATCACATCCTTTGTATCTTCACCAGCTCCAACCTTGAATCCGTGTCATCTGCATATGACAACGTGTCGCGGTGCGCCGCTCCAACCTCTTAATGTTGTCGCGCCGGAGATGCCTGTAGAACGGCTTCAATGACAGAAAGCTCCACCAGCTCGGCAGCCGCCTGGTTTTGTTCCCTTTTCTTCTTTACTCTGTACCATGCCACGAACAGGACGAACCCTACCACAGCCGATGAACCGATCGCGGAGATGACGATGAAGATGATGATGGTGGCGGAGGTGGTTGCCTGCTGTTTCGCGACTTCTGTGACAGGCGAAGACTTGGGTTCAAAGAGACTCATGGCTGTTTGCTGTCGGTTGCTCTGAATGCTGACTTGTGGTAGTTGTATGAGGATGGCGCCGCGCCGGTTCAGACGATGTCGTATCTGGACCTTGTCGTAGCAACAGTGCCCTACTAAGCCACTCGCTCGTCCGATGTCTGAAGCGTCTGCCGTAAGTTGAAGGTCGAGACTGTTGGCCCAGGTGGTATTGGGTTCGCCCAGATGAGCGCCGGTCCGTCGAGAATGACAACGCCGCGTTGTCGAAGGCGCCTCCACCGCGCTTTGCTGTGTACGTTGGACCAACGGAGAAAGGCGATGACGAGAATGATCTGGAAGAGCAGGATGATGAGGACGCCGATGACGATCAAGAAGAGAGGCCAGTCAGGAAGATTGAGAGAGGTCAGTGGTACGTGAGTGGATGCTGGAAGTGCCGGCATGGTTGAGAAGATGGCGTGATTGGGCTGCGTGAGAGTGAGGATACAAAAGAGGAGAGCTTATCGGTGAGTTGGGAAAACTCTGCGCGCGACAGTCGTGATGGAGTGAAGGTGAAAAGCTTGGACCGCGAGACCGCGGACTTGACGACGACAACACCATCGATTGCGCGTTGACGTCATGTCTACCATTCTCCCCAGATCCGTTTGCACGCTGCGCGATCGGCTCTCGACGCGTCCATCGCGCGAGACAGCCGCTTCTCGCCGCATCTCCTTCTTTCTTTCACTCTACGAGTCCTCGAGACGTATACATCCGGCAGAAGTCCCAAGGAAAATCGGGGGAGAAGAGGTTGTAGCCGGCAAACTGATTAGGAGGTTGGCCGGAAAACTCCTAGGGAGGTGAATGTGGGTGGTAAGCCACCATATGCAATGTCAATTGAGTGGGTGACATATCGCTGTAGTAGGCAAGTCGTTTGTTGGTCGGTTACTCTATATAGATGAGACATGTTGTAGTTCTCATAGTTTGAAGGTAAAGGTAGAGAAGAAGGTGGGATATTCGCTCTCGGACAGGCAGCATAGATATGTAGTGCTACCAGGATTGACGCTGCTGGTCGAACCATGGGTCAACCCTTAATGCTCAGATGCCACATCCAGGTACTAGCAAGGCGGCGACATGGGAAGCTATGATGGAATTCCCAATGCGATGTATCTGCCAGGTGAAGTTGCATCACTTTAGGGTTAGAAATATAGCACATATAACAAGACTCTTGCCGCAGACATTAATTGTGGGCCTGCGCTATACTCTGTAGAAAAGAATACGTATATCTTAAGACATGTTTTCTTGCTTAGCTGCAAATGTTAAGACTTTGTTGTAGTCTTTACAAGGTACTATGCCTAAATAAAATACCAGAAGGTAGATTGACGTATTCATCAGACCGCTTCTGCATGATTAACCCTTTGTCTTCTGCACACTTCCATCCCAGCGTACTGCACATGACCCATCCGGCAAATAAAGAGTACCTTCAACACCAGGACTTTGTCTCCTCGAATCCTGTGAGCGACCAACGCGAAGAACTCCACTAGCGAATCCGCTCACATGATGGTCATAGCCGTCGCGCGACTCCGATATGAAGACATGGCCATGTCTACGGCGGCTTTTGGCCCGCAATGCACTATAAGCCCGCTCAGCATTTGGCGAAAGTGGCGATAGTGGTACCAAATTCGCCTCTGATGTGCAGACATCCCGAATCCATCGCATCAAACTGATCGTATCAGGTGCTGAAGCATCGACATCAAGAAATCATTTCTTGGTTGCTTGTACCACATACGAGATCATTCCCGCTTTCGTACTCCCTCAGCATCACATCTTCTCCTTCTCCCTAACCGGACTCAACATCGGCTGAAAAGCTTTGATCTGCTACAAAAGCCATTAGTATACTCCCATCCAAGCATCATGACATCACCAAAACATACCTTGCCCATCCAGCCCCCCTCACCTCGTTCCGCTCGATCCATACCCCTTGCATCTCCGCCCATATCTTCTCCTCTCTTCCTATCTCTTCCTCCACACCTACAGCACACCACTTTTCTCAGCACAGCGACAATCATAAAGAAAGCCATCATAGCGAGGATGTAATTCACGCCCAGTACGATCAAATAGCTGACACCGAAAAGATTGTCGCGCGTACAGAACCCAGGTCCTAGATTCCAGGAACGGATCATGGGATCGATGAGCTGAGCAATGTACATTGGACATTTGTGCAGTGTGGGGTAGTCAGGGAAGGAGGGCGCGGGGCTCGAGTGTGGTAGGTGCAGGGCCGGGTAGGTGATGATGATTTGTGGCATTTTGAAGTACGTAGATATCTTGAAGACGGCAGTATGAGGCTGTCGGTTATGAAATGCGGAGTGTTGGTGGGTGTATATGCCGAGTTATGGTGAGGTCTTTGTGAGCTGAGGTGTATGAGTGGCCGCTGTTCAAGGACCGATGCGCCGCAATTTACATGACTGCCTTGGTGTTACACGGCAGCCACCGGGTTTCTTGGATGCGGCGTCGCCCTGTCTTAGTTAATGTGCGGATGCTGAGCGTCACTTTATCTGCCATGGCCTGAAACGCGCGTCATTGTTTCGTATACATGGGGATGGCCTTGCGCATCGGCCTTGGAAGGGTAATTGGAAGATTAAGGTTTTGAAATGCGATAGATTGTTTCAATGGGTACATATGCGCTAAATGCGATATTTGGGTTCGTTTTCGATGACCCGAAAGGTTGGTAAAATGCTCTTTACCTAGTCCTTCCATTTCCCGCTCCATCCCTGCCGTGCCGCCTGCGCCGTCTCTGCCTCATCCCCACCATCACCGTCTAAGTACCCAAAGTATTTTCTAGGCCAGATATTCAGCCCAATCTTCTCACCTTCGCCTACCGGCAACCCAGCATGCACCACTCTCCTATCGCCCTTGCCATGCTTGTCCAGATTAACCCAGAACACTGCATTCCCTTGGATTGGTTTGAATTTGATGCCTTTAGCTTCTCCATCCATCT